AAAAACATCATTTGATTCCACACATGAGAACTCACACAGGCGAGAAACCTTTCTCCTGTTCCATTTGTGGCAAAAGTTTTAATCAAAAACATCATTTGATTCCACACATGAGAACTCACACAGGTGAGAAGCCTTATAAATGTCTGTCCTGTGGAAAAAGCTTCACTGAAAACAGCGGTCTTACTAAACACATCAGAATGCACACAGGTGAGTTTTCCTGTGAAACTTGTGGAAAAAGTTTCTATCTAAAAAGTCTTTTGATGACACACATGAGAATTCACACAGGTGAGAAACCTTTCGAATCTCTGTCCTGTGGGAAAAGCTTTACTGATGAACACTCACTGAATAGTAACATGAGAATTCACACAGGTGAGAAACCTTTAGAATGTCAGTCCTGTGGAAAAAGGTTCAATGAAAAAAGCAGTCTTAATAGACACATTAAAATGCACACAGGTGAGAAGCCTTTCAAATGTCAGTCCTGTGGAAAAAGCTTCGGTGAAAAAAGTAGTCTTGATAGACACATTAGAATGCACACAGGAGAGAAGCCTTTCAAATGTCTGTGCTGTGGAAAAAGTTTCAATGAAAACAGCAAACTTAATACACACATTAGAATGCACACAGGAGAGAAGCCTTTCAAATGTCTGTCCTGTGGAAAAAGCTTCAACGAAAAGAGCAAACTATTTATACACATTAGAATACACACAGGTGAGAAGCCATTCTCCTGTACAATTTGTGGAAAAAGTTTTAAACAAAAGGCTCATTTGATTAGACACACAAGAATTTGCACAGGCGAGAAGCCTTTCAAATGTCCATCCTGTGGAAAAAGCTTCAATGAAAAAAGCATGCTTAATAAACACATTAGAATTCACACAGGTGAAAAACCGTTCTCCTGTATAATTTGTGAAAAAAGTTTTAATCAGAAAAGTCATTTGATTCCACACATGAGAACTCACACAGGTGAGAAGCCTTTCAAATGTCTGTCCTGCGGAAAAAGATTCAGTCAAAAAATCCATCTTAATAAACATATTATAATTCACGGGTAAAAAACTGTTCTGTAGAATTTGTGGCATAAGTTTTAACCAGAAAGTATTTTGACTAGACACATTAGAGAAAACACAGGAGAGAAGCCTTTTGGATGCCTCTTGCGGAAAAAAACTTCAATGAAAAACTCAATTTTGATAAACACATTAGAATTCACACAGATGAGAAGAAGAAGAATTAATCAAGAAGAATTCTTGATTCATGACGTGGAACGATTTGGAAGAAGTCACAGCAGTTAGACACCACAGAAATGAACAGGAGAAACCTTTTCCATGTTTTACTTATGGTAAATGTCCATTTAGAAACTCCTTAAACTTTAGAGAAAACCTTTATTAACAGTTCTAATCTACTACTATTCATAACTACCACAATAGCTATGTATTGTTTCCATGGAAACTAGAACTGGTAAGATGTAAGAAAGAACTTGGTTTCGAGGTTTGAGTCTGTAGTTCACTGTCCTACGATAGTGAAAAAAGTTTGTTTGAAGAGTTAAACATTAATTTAAAGTTGTTGCTATTATTTGGTTTAAAGTTTATATTCTTGCTGATCAGTTTGAACTTGCTTAAAGTTGTAAAAAAAAGAAGCCTTTTAACTTATTAATGAATTACAGAAGTTTCACACTACTAGAAGTGTAATGTTTCTAATTTAAAAAAAATGTTTAATGTATAATTTTGCTTTGATACATTTCTTATATTGTCTTTCTTGATAGTACAATATTGAAAGTTGCAGATGTTTTATTTACCTGCTATGGTTGAAGGTGTAACATAACCACTATGTTATTTTCTGTTTTTGTGTGAAGAACATTAAAGTGTATCGATAACAAACTATTTTGTAGAACAGCTTTTTCATTGGTTTTATTATATCAAATCTCCACTGGTTAAAAATGATGATGGGAGTTAATATGCTGGGTTATTTTAAACGGGGACGGTTTCAAGGGTTTTATTAAACACTGGGTAAACAGAACAGTGGGGGAAAACGCCGACCAGGAAAACAACTCGAGCTGGAGGGCAGCCAGGTAACCGGTTTCACCTAAGGAGGAAAGAGAAGAGGTTAGACCGCGGAGAGAGCGGGGTGGATAAACCTACGGAGCTGAGCTTACCACAGAGCGATTAGACCGGACCGGGAGGGAAGCAGTGGCGACTCAGCGCTTGCCTGATGGTGATGGTGACAGGCGTCAGTGTGACAGAGAGCGGGGGCTGTGGAGTGGTCCGAGCAGCACCGGGGAATCCTTTCCATTTCCGGTTCACCAGTCCGCTGAGGTCCCACTGAGTTTTCCCAGCAGTATAATATCACTCTATGTTTTTGTAAACCTTCAAATTAAACCAGTTAACTTTTATCCTTGGTTCTCTGAGTGTTTCTCTGCATGTGGGTGAGATCCTTAAAGCCCATCATGACACTACCTCCGGCTACTAATTGTTTTGGCTGTAGTTTTATTTTTGCATTTCATGTTACTTTTATAGTATATGATGCTTTGTAAAAAACACGAAACTGAAACACAGATAAACACGACTTAATCCTATTTTGCTGGACTGCTTTGAGCTTTTCTTATGTCAGACTAGCAATATAAAGAAGACCTGTCAGTTTTATATGATCTAGTTTAGCGTCCATTGATGATTTAAAGATAGAAATAAGTACCTTTAGTACCATAACTTCAAAGTCACCTGGATGAATATCTGCTTCTCCATGAGCAAATGAGCTGATGGTTTGGATCATGCTTCCAATGCAGATCAGTTAGTACATTCAGCCTGCCACTATCACCATAGGTGAGTTGTACAGAAACCACACTTCCAAACATTTAGGTTAAATCTCTCTCTCTTAAGCACTCATTTGAAGGATATATGTCATTTATTATATTAAATTGTAATTCTTTATATTTAGGAGAAATTGGGAATTTCAAATAATTTGTCCTAAATTTGATTATTGTAGATTTGTTAAAATATTATATATAAAATATTGATTCAAGCACCTATTGGTGCATTTATTATCTCTAATGTCCACGTGCTCAATTTGAAGCTTATGGAGTCTTGGAATTCATTATTTATTTAGTTTTCCTGCTTTTTCTGGTTTCCTGTTTCCTTGTTTATCTCCATACAGTTTGGTGGCGGTAATGCGCCCCTCAAGTTTGACCAGAAGAAGAAGAAGAAACAGAAGAAGAAGAAGA